CCATGATTGTTGCTCTGACGTCGGTGTAGGTTGGTGTCGCTCCAGCCATGAGTTGAAGATGTTGTTGTAAAGGTCCTTTTGTTCCATTCATCAAGACTGCAATTTTGACTTGGTCTGGAAGTTGTGTGTTGTTGTCCCTTTCATACTTGTTGAGCTCAAACTCCCAATTGGAGAATGACTCCTCGAAGTTGTTGTTGTCGAATGTTGGCTTCAAGAGCTTTGTGAGATACCCGATGCTTCTTGTTCCAATGGGCAATGCAAATCTAATGTTGAGTTGTCGGAGTATCTCGAGTCCAATCTCGTGTTGATACTGTCTGCAAAGTGTGGCTGCTCCTCCTGTTGTCACATTGATTAACACGTACTTAAGGTTGCTGTCGAGTTGGACCCATGCATCTGCTTCCTCCAGTGTTGTGGCTGCCTGTCTTAGGTGTGCCTCAGTCACTTGTTGTGTTGCTGCTTCGGCCAGTCTGAACATCCTTGGATAGAATGGGTCATGTAGGCCCATGTATGCTGCGAACTTGTATTTCCATTCTTCATATGTGGCATAGTTGCCATCATATGTTGGAGGTTTCAGTTTGAGCTTGCGTGTTGCTGCCAAGGCTGTTGCTTCGTCGTCTGCTGGCGCTGCCATTGTGGTTTGGGTTGTGCTGAGTGTTGTTGAGAATCCCCCAGTGTTCTGGGATCAAGTCCTCTGCCTGTTGTTTACTGCTGTTGCTTGGAGATGCCCCTGGTTAGGCAGAGCTCCGCTACCATGAAAAATTCACAGCAGCTTTCCTCCTGTTGAATGCAGTGTTGAACACGCGCAGCTGTGTTTGTTTCTCTCGCTGTTGTCTCTGGGCACTGTCGTCTTGAGCCAAACGTTGTCAAACGTTTGGATGTTGGTGTACAGGTATGTTGGTCTACTGTACACATACTTGGATATTAACATGTATGCTTTTTTTGTACGTATGTACGTATGCATGTACGTATGTATGTATGTATGTATGTATGTATGTATGTATGTATGTATGTATGTATGTATGTATGTATGTATGTATGTATGTATGTATGTATGTATGTATGTATGTATGTATGTATGTATGTATGTATGTATGTATGTATGTATGTATGTATGTATGTATGTATGTATGTATGTATGTATGTATGTATGTATGTATGTATGTATGTATGTATGTATGTATGTATGTATGTATGTATGTATGTATGTATGTATGTATGTATGTATGTATGTATGTATGTATATGTGTGTGTGTGTATGTATGTATGTATGCATGCATGCATGCATGCATGCATGCATGTATGTATGTATGTGTGTATGTATGTGTGTAGGGATGTATGTATGTATGTATGTATGTATGTGTGTATGTATGTATGTATGTATGTATGTATGTATGTATGTATGTACGTATGTATTATGTATCTATGTATGTATGTATGTATGTATGTATATTTTTTTTACATGTATATCCGCCGACCCCGGCCTTCGCCAAGGCAGGGGGCGGCGCCTGGGACCACCGCAGGTGTGGAACCTGTTCCGTTTCCGGGCCTTCAAACGCCGCAAACCGTCCGCGGCAGCTTCGACCAGGCACTCAGGCCATAGCTATCTGGGTTTGCCGCAGCCATCTGCTACTATTACGGCGTTCAACCTGCCGTTTGCCCGCCTTCAAAGCTTTAAAATGCTCCGCGGCAGCTTCGACCAGGCACGCAGGCCACAGCCATTGCTATACTATCGGCGTTCGAAGCTGCCGTTTGCCCGCCCTCAAATGCCTAAAACCCTCCGCGACAGCTTCGACCGGCAGCTTCGACCAGGCACTCAGGCCACAGCCATCTGCTACTATCGGCATCTATCGGCGTTCGAGGCTGCCGTTTGCCCGCCCTCAAAGGCCTAAAACCCGCAGCTTCGACCAGGCACTCAGGCCACAGCCATCTGCTACTATACCGGCGTTCGAGGCTTCCGTTTGCCCGCCCTCAAAGGCCTAAAACGCTCCGCGGCAGCTTCGACCAGGCACGCAGGCCACAGCCATCTGCTACTATCGGCGTTCGAGGCTGGCGTGTGCCCGCCCTCAAAGGCCTAAAACACTCCGTGGCAGCTTCGACCAGGCAGGAAGGCCACAGCCATCTGCTACTATCGGCGTTCGAGGCTGCCGTTTGCCCGCCCTCAAAGGCCTAAAACGCTCACCGGCAGCTTCGACCAGGCACTCAGGCCACAGTCATCTGCTACTATCGGCGTTCGAGGCTGCCGATTGCCCGCCCTCAAAGGCCTAAAACTTTAAACGCTCCGCGACAGCTTCGACCAGGCACGCAGGCCACAGCCATCTGCTACTATCGGCGTTCGAGGCTGCCGTTTGCCCTTAAGGCCTAAAACGCTCCGCGACAGCTTCGACCGGAAGCTTCGACCAGGCACTCAGGCCACAGTCATCTGCTACTATACCGGCGTTCGAGGCTGCCGTTTTCGAGCCCTCAAAGGCCTAAAACTTTACACGCTCCGCGGCAGCACTCTGCTACTATCGGCGTTCGAGGCTGCCGATTGCCCGCCCTCAAAGGCCTAAAACGTTCCGCGGCAGCTTCGACCAGGCACGCAGGCCACAGCCATCTGCTACTATCGGCGCTCGAGGCTGCCGTTTGCCCGCCCTCAAAGGCCTAAAACGCTCCGCGGCAGCTTCGACCAGGCACGCAGGCCACAGCCATCTGCTACTATCGGCGTTCGAGGCTGCCGATTGCCCGCCCTCAAAGGCCTAAAACGTTCCGCGGCAGCTTCGACCAGGCACGCAGGCCACAGCCATCTGCTACTATCGGCGCTCGAGGCTGCCGTTTGCCCGCCCTCAAAGGCCTAAAACGCTCCGCAAAAGCTTCGACCAGGCACGCAGGCCGCAGCCATCTGCTACTATACCGGCGTTCGAGGCTGCCGTTTGCCCGCCCTCAAAGGCCTAAAACGCTCCGCGGCAGCTTCATCTGCTACTATCGGCGTTCGAGGCTGCCGTTTGCCCGCCCTCAAAGGCCTAAAACGTTCCGCGGCAGCTTCGACCAGGCACTCAGTCGGAAATTTGAGGCTGAAACCAAATAGTAGCCATTTTGGGGGGCGGGCTGTCTTTTAGCCTGAACATCAATTCAAGCGAGATTGTCCATTCAGGCTGGAAATGCCATCTTGAGCATAATTGCAGAAAGCATTTCCAGGCGAGAATTTAGAGGCAGGCGACATTTCAAAGGTCAGGCAGAAAAAACGGTCCGAACACGTTCAGGCTCAAATTCTAGCCTGAGGGTGCTCTATAGGTATATGTGTGTATCTCCGCCGACCCCTGCCTAGCCCCCCCCTTAACGGCGGCACCAGGGCGTTAGCCCATTTATATGTATATGTAAATGTCCATATACACGTGAAACCACCACCAGATTAAGTTGTGCATATCCCCATTGTATCCCCATGATATCACCATTTTTCTTCAGGAAACCCCCATCTTCCTAGGGAAAAACGGCTGCCGTCGCCAAATCTGGTCAAGTATCATTGGAGTCATGGGGCTGATAGATGCTGATAGGGGATGCCATGATTGTCATGATATCACCAGCCTTAGTGCGTGTGTGTGTGTGTGTGTCATAGTCTTTTTGAAGTCAGCCAAAAAAAACATCGTCTCTTGTTCAAGATGCGAAAGTTCCCTCTCTGCATCATTTTCACCCATTGCCAGCGAAAAGCCAAAGATAAAAGGAATCCATCACCAAGTCAAGGTGGACCCAAAACCGTGGTAACGATTGATGGTCACTTCCGTGGGATCACCAAGACCAATTGATGATGGACCCATTTCATGGCACGAGCCAAATGCTCTCCAGCAACTGTGGTTCCACCACAGCCTGGATATCAGGGAACTGTGAGCACAGTGTGAGGCAATCCGGCCAAAGCAATTTTCTGATCTATGTATATCTAAGTGGTTGGTGGATGCTGCGGATATCACAACTGGTTGGTCCATAAGGGTTCCCATAGGTTCACATTGATACCGTAGATGGACGAATTATTCAAACCCTTGTAATCCAATAACCCCCCGCACCCCCAATTACAATGTTGTTTTTTTGGTTTGGTTAGCTCCTTCGAATGGACGAAATAAATCAAACCCTAAGATCAGGAACAAAGATACGAAACCATAACGTTGAAATTTTGGGGGACGTGACAGGGGATAGCCTACAACTCATGGATGCGGGGTTTGAATAATTTGTCCATCTACTGTATCACTCCTTTGAAGCGGTCACTGGTCGCAGCCCAGTCGTCAAAGCTGGGCTTGAGCCCTGGTGGCCCATGTCATCTTCGGCACGAGACCATCCCATTTTCGCAGGGGGTAATGGCCTGATCATTGTCTACTGCACATACAGATGACTATCCGACGACGATCCTTTTTCATCCCCTTTCCATGTTTCAGTATGTTTCAGTGGGGATTTTCGAACCAAAATAGCTGTCTGTCCGAAATCTGTCATTCTTTCCATGCCATTTTTCAGGCAACCCTCTGCAGACAGTGAAACGTTCAACGACTAACGTCTGGCTGGATGTGGACTGCCGGGCTACTTCTACTTCCCATGACTTCTGCAAATGGTGATTCCATGGGAATATTTACTGAAAATGTTTAGTGGGAGTATCTAAATATGTGATGGAAACTAAAGTATATCACCAAACAAGATGTCTTTGGTTGGTGATTGAGCCACCCCTCTGAAAAAGATCCATTAGTCAATGAATTTGGATCATCATCTCAAGTGGGGTTGAAAATTGTTTCCCAAAACAGCTTCACAAGGCTTGACATACGTTACGTTGCGTTGCGTTGCATGACGTTGCGTTGCGTAGCGTTACCTTCACATTTTGCTAGTTTCAAAAGTGCTTTCCAAGAATGTCCACAACAGCTCCTGAGTCCAAAGTTGAAGGGAAATCGCAGAAAAAACCAAAAACTAAAACACCTATTGATTGTAAAATGCCCATCCTTTGACGGTCTAAAAAGCGCCAAAAAAAAAACATAGTAAGTTTGATCGGAAATAAAATACAGAGTGTCCTGTTGAATTTCCCTCAAGCCATGACATTCATCTGCAGAGGGAACTGTGCAGTTCTTGGATCATTTCAGCCACTTGTCCTGCAGTCGGCCTGGCTTCAAATGGACTGATTTGAGGAAACAATGGCAAGGAACCAGGGGAAAAATGGTGCTGAAACAAAGGGGGGTCCGGTACATGTTCCATTCATCCAAGTCTGGAACATCTAGGTAAACATAAGTGAAGTTGGGAGTCCCAAATAAGGCCCATCATTCGTGGTATTTCCACCGTTTTAGTATCCAGATTTGGGCCTCAATCACGCCTTCAAACATCTCTCCGAAGTTGATGGTGGTTAACTACTCATGTCTCGTTGGCAAAGTCCCAGGGTTCTGAATGAGTTCTGGGTATTATTGTAATTTTTGGTGGTTCCCGTTGCTAATCATCCCTTTTGGTGACGTCGTGAGGTGTCCTTTTCGAGAAACGACCAAAAAATCCACGAAGAAGCGGGGAACAAGGCAGATTGCGATTGATGCAACCAACTGCCAAAAAACGAACTTGCTCGATTCATCCCCTTGTGAATTAAGTGAAAGTGTTGGTGTGAGCAATGTTATAGTGATAAACCTGGAGACGTTGACCCTCTTTTTGAAAGTGCATCTATAGAATCAGAGATGCCAGGGTATTTTCAAGTTGACACTCTCTATAGAATTGCTGTCACTGAGATTGTTTATGAGCATCATTTTCTATAGAATAGCTGACACCAAGTCACTCTCGTAAAGCCTTTTTAGGTTGGGGGGTTAGTTGGCCTTCTATAAAATCAGATTCCCCAAGTCACATTCATTGACAGATGACCTGAATACTCCAGTTGCTCTTGCTCCACGTTTTCAGTGTCAACCTGTTTTCAACATGAAATCTCTATAGAATCGCTGACACCAAGGTCCTTTATAAAATTGCAAATGTTGACACTGGGTAGGTGCCCCTAAACTTGAGGCCAGGGGGGAGGTACGAAAGCTAGCAGGGCTGGGGTAAGGTGGTAATCGTAAAGGGGGATTAGCAAGGTGAAGTCGGAATGCGGCAACGGTCTCACGCGGTTTTTTGGAGTTGCTGCAAGTCACAAACATTGCCAATCTTTTGATGTTGATGCGGTTGCTGACCAGAACGATGAAGGAAACTGATGATGACGAAGTGATGGTAATAGGAATGAGTTGATGACGACGATGATGAGGACGAAGAGGATGATGAAGACGATGAGGATGATGAGGATGATGGGGATGATGAGGATGATGAGGATGATGAGGATGAGAATGAAGATGAAAATGAGGATGATCATTATGATGAGCAGGGCTGTTGTAGGGTTGCAAAATCTATTGGGTCCCGCAAGCGAAAACCCCCCAATGCAGTAATAGTCTCTCGCCAAGTGTTGTAGGCAGAAGAAACGCAATATCAAAAAAAATACACCCTCCAAATGGAAGCCCGATTCTGCATCAAAATGTTCAAGACAATGCAACATATTATGTATGATGATGGTAACGATGATGATGTTGTTGATGATGATGATGATGTGGATGCTCCGAATGATGGGGATGGTGATGATGGTGATGATGATGATGATGATGATGAGGAGGAGGAGGAGGAAGATGATGGGAGGATGAGGATGAGGATGAGGATGAGGATGAGGATGGAGATGGGGATGGAGGATGAGGATGAGGATGAGGATGATGATGAGGATGAGGATGAGGATGTTGTTGTTGTTGATGATGATGATGACGACGATGATGATACTGACGATGACGAGGAGGAGGAGGAGGAAGATAATTATGATCATTTGGAAGCAGGCAAGTGTCCGATGATGATTTTGTAGAGTTGATGGTTGGTTTAATGAACATGACGTCCTGAAGATGAAATACTGAAGAGGACGACCCTAAACCTGCTGCAGGAAACCAATGGCCCACCGGGACCAGGGGATGAGGATGCTGGTCAAACATGAGGAGGACGAAGAGGATGATGAGGATGATGAGGATGATGAGGATGATGAGGATGAGGATGAGGATGAGGAGGGTCAGGCTGAAGATGAAGATGAAAATGAAAATGAGGATGATGACCCTCTACCAGCCGGAAAATCTCCTCTCGGGGGGCGCTCGGGGGGGACCAGGGCGGGATTGAACCTGGGCCTGCCAGGCAAGGGGGGAAGCTTCAGGGTTTCCAACGGTCCTGGTGCCTGCCTATTCCTTGCTAAAGCAAGAGCAACTTCAGCTAGCACAGCTAGCTTTCGTGACAAAGGAGGGCCCTAAAACGCACCATGTTCCCAAGCTTAACTGCTGCGATTTTGTAATGGAAATTGCAAGGAGGATCTCGATTCGATCTCTAATGATCACAAATGTACTATTTTGCCGATAGGCATCGGTTGGTTGCGGATTTTGTTCAATGCGAAAATGGAGATAGGAACAACAAGAAATTGGGACAGGATCAGGAAAAGCCAGTCCTGAAGGACAAGGGGGTAACCACATAGAGTACAACCCGTGACAATTGGGAGAGCACCAATTGAATGGCAAATATATTCACCACTTGAAGTCAGGTTGCAAGGAATGAACATATTGATATCAACCAATAGGAGGTCCACCAGGTACGCAGTGAAACCTGCATACAGTGCGTGATCCCAGCGAAACATTTCACCCATTCCACGTCTTGCCGCTCCTAACTACTACAGTATCCTCTATCCCATGAGCCTTGTGTCAGGATCTTCAGCCCAACAAGCCTCGCAAGAAAAACGGATGGAACATCGCCTTTGCGATGGGGTAACCGGGGTAACTATTACGTTGCCACCAAATTTAGCGAGGTTTGAAGAATCAAAAATGAGCAAATATGAGGACCCCTACCCATCCCTACCCAATCCTCTGGCAAGAAATGAACGAACTTTTGGGAAGGCGCAAAAGGCAGTTCCCCCGGGGTTTCCGCCTGAAGGATGGACCAGGCTTGATGAAGCCTCTCTTCTCCTGGTGGTTTCATGGGAAAATCTCCAAAATAGAGGCCCAAAATAATGGGTGATGCGGGTGATGGTTCTTTCATAGGGGTTCCCAGCTGGATTATGATAACCCCTAAGTCCCAAACATATAAAGCACATCCTAAGTTATGATCCAACCAACGTCAGAGATTTTCAAACTACTCACTTGTTGAATGACCAGGACAAGTATCTCGCAAAACAGTCGATTCTCCGCGCGGGGAGGTTACAAAAGTACCCACCGGGTAAAAAACAATGTAACAATGATGATGCAAAAATATTGTCATTAAAAGTAAACCTGAAAGAAACCACGAACCCGAATGCATTTTTTGGAAGCTCACGTAGAAGAAGGGTTCCTACAGAACAATGAAAAGCGAACAGGAGATGCTCGTGTTTGATACTCTTCTCGGACAATCGTGTGGGACACTCTTGCGTGACACTCTTGTGGCATACTCTTGTGGGGCACTCTTGTGGGACACTTTTATGGGACACTCTTGCCTGACACTCTTGTGGCACACTCTGGTAAAACACTCTCTCTCTCAATACTCTGAAACACTTTTGTAAGACACTCTTGTTGGACACTCTTGCTTGACACATCTGGAACACCTTTGTACTACAAAGCCTCCACACAGTACCTCACATTTCTACTTTATACTGCAAATCTTGCACAGAGTAATTCCCACTGCTACTTTGTACTACAAATCTTGCGCTACTACTTTGCACTACAAAGTTTGCACAAGGCACTTCCCAGTGTTACTTCGCACTCCAGACTCCGCACTCCACACTTAACCCTTCACACATCACACATCACACTCCACCCTTCACGCTTCCCACTCCACACATCACACCCCACACTTCATGCTACACACGTCACACTCAACACTCCACGCTCTACACTGCACACTGCACACTGCACACTTCGTACTCCACGCTTCACACTTCACACTCATCAGTGCGCACTCCACACTTCACACTTCACACTCTCCACTCCACACTCCACACGCTCCACACACTTCAGACTTCACACTCCACACTTCACACTCCATTTCGCACTTTGCACCCTGAACTCCACACTGCACACTCCACACTCTACACTTCACACTCTCCACTTCACACTCCACACTTCACACTCCACACTCCACACTTCACACTTCACACTCTCCACTTCACACTCCACACTCCACACTTCACACTCCACACTTCACACTCCACACTTCACACTTCACACTTCACTTCAAACTCCGCACTTCACGCTTCACACTGCACACCTGACACTACACACTTCACACTTCACTTCACGCTCGACACTTCACGCTTCAAACTCAACACTGCACACTCTCCACTCCACACTCTGCACTTCACTTCTCGCACTCCACCCTGCAAACTCCACACTTCACTTCACACAACAAACCTGGCACTTCACCCTCCACACTTGTACAGCAGAGCTTGCGCCAAATACCTTCCAGCACGGCTTTGTACTGCAAAGCTTGCACAAAGTACTTCCCAGTACTACTTTGTATCACAAAGCTTGCACAAAGTATTTACCAGTACTGCTTTGCACTACGAAGCTCCCAAAAAGTACCTCCGAGTACTACTTTGTACTGCAAAGCTTGCACAAGGCACTTCCCTGTACTACTTTGTTCTACAAAGCTAGTGCCAAAGCACCTCCCAATACTACTTTTACCACAAAGCTCGCACAAGGAACTTCCCAGTACTACGTTCTACTGCAATGCTTGCACAAAGTCCTTCCCAGTACTACTTTGCACTAAGGCTTGCACAAGGTACTCCCCAGTACTACTTTGTACTACAAACCTTGCACGAAATACCTTTTTGGATTACTTTGTACTACAAAGCTTGCGCAAGGCACTTCCCAGTACTACTTTGTACTACAAAGGTTGCACAGGGCACTTCAGTTCTGCTTTGTACTGCAAAGCTTGCACAAAGTAATTCCCAGTCCTACTGTGTAATATAATGCTTCCACAAAGTATTTCCCAGTTCTACTTTGCACTACAAAGCTCCCAAAAAGTACCTCCGAGTACTACTTTGTACTGCAAAGCTTGCACAAAGTACTTCCCAGTACTACTTTGTATCACAAAGCTTGCACAAAGTATTTACCAGTACTACTTTGCACTACGAAGCTCCCAAAAAGTACCTCCGAGTACTACTTTGTACTGCAAAGCTTGCACAAGGCACTTCCCAGTACTACTTTGTTCTACAAAGCTAGTGCCAAAGCACCTCCCAATACTACTTTGTACCACAAAGCTCGCACAAAGAACTTCCCAGTACTACGTTGTACTGCAATGCTTGCACAAAGTCCTTCCCAGTACTACTTTGCACTAAGGCTTGCACAAGGTACTCCCCAGTACTACTTTGTACTACAAACCTTGCACGAAATACCTTTTTGGATTACTTTGTACTACAAAGCTTGCGCAAGGCACTTCCCAGTACTACTTTGTACTACAAAGGTTGCACAGGGCACTTCAGTTCTGCTTTGTACTGCAAAGTTTGCACAAAGTAATTCCCAGTCCTACTGTGTAATATAATGCTTGCACAAAGTATTTCCCAGTACTACTTTGCACTACGAAGCTCCCAAAAAGTACCTCCGAGTACTACTTTGTACTGCAAAGCTTGCACAAGGCACTTCCCAGCACTACTTTGTACTACAAAGCTTGCACAAAGTACCTCCCAGTACGACTTTGTACTACAAAGCTTGCACAACGCACTTCCCAGTACTACTTTATACTAGAAACCTTGCACGAAATACCTTGCAGGGCTACTTTGTACTACAACGCTTGCACAAGGCACTTCCCAGCACTGCTTTATACTACAAACCTTGCACGAAATACCTTTTTGGACTACTTTGTACTACAAACCTTGCACAAGGCACTTCCCTGTACTACCTTGTACTACAAAGCTTGCACAAAGTACCTCTCAGTACGACTTTGTACTACAATGCTTGCACAAACTACTTCCCAGTACTACTTTGTATTACAAAGCTTGCACAAAGTACTTCGCAGTACTACACTGCACTTCACACTTCACACTTCATACTTCACACCCTGCACTCCACACTCCACACTCCACACTTCACACCTCACACTTCACTTCGAACTTCGAACTTCACTTCACTTCACACTCCACACCTCACACTCCACACTCCACACTTCACCCTGCCCAATCCACACTTTACACTTCCAACACCACACTCTCCACTCCACACCTCACACTCCACACTTCACGCTTCACACTTGACACTTCACACTGCACACTCCACACTTCGCACTCCACACTTCACACTTTTCACTCCACACTCTGCACTGCACATCCCCACACTTCTCACACCACACTTCTCAAACTTCACACTCCACACTTCACACACCACACTTCACACTCCACACTCCACACTTCACCCTGCCCAATCCACACTTTACATTTCCCACATCACACTCTCCACTCCACACTGCACACTCCACACTTCACACTTCACACTTCACACTTCACACTTTCCACTCCACACTCTGCACTTCACACTTCACACTTCACACTTTCCACTCCACACTCTGCACTGCACATCCCCACACTTCTCACACCACACTTCCAACTTCACACTCCACACTTCACACTCCACACTTCTCACTTCACACTTCACACTCTCCACTCCACACTCCACACTTCACACACCACTCTTCACACTCCACGCTTCACAATGCACTTTCACACGTCACAACACATCACCTTTTCTCACTTTCCCCATAGACAGCGGCGACGACGCCATTATAGACCCCCAAAACAACTTTCGCCTGAGTGCCACAAAGTCCCACGCCTGCCACGCCATCACACGTCACAATACATCACCTTTTCTCACTTTCCCCATAGACACCGCCAGGATGCGATTAGAGACCCCCAAAGCAACTTTCGCTTGAGTGCCACAAAGTCCCACACCTGCCACGTGATATGCACTTTCACACGTCGCAACACATCACCTTTTCTCACTTTCCCCATAGACAGTGCAACGACGCGATTAGAGCCTCGCGACACGAAAACGACCCGCAAACAGTCCGCCACCCCCAGACCCCCAAGAAAGAAAACAAGAACCCTTCGCTACGCAATCGGGAAAAACATACACTAGTAAAAACAAGACTATAACGACCATAATTGTCGTCGTCATCATCATCAAAGAAAAGAAGGTGAAGGGCGTCAACTTCGTCAACCACAGACAACATTCCGGAGGACTCCTATGTGTCCGATCTCCAAGAGTTCTTCAAAGGGCGGCCGTTGTCCTTGCCATCCCGGGGATGTCGATGGGTGAACTGCCGACAGTTGGACAGTCGAGGCTCCTCCCATGATGGCCAAACACAGGGCCGCTTCGTTCTTGCTGCTGAACGGAATACTTCCTGACAGGACTCCGGTTGGGGTCACCTAGGATTTGAACTGGATCTACCGCAGTACCTAGCCAGTTCCCAAGCAGTTTGTCAATTCATACCTTCATTTTCCGTTGGAACCATGTTAAAAACTCATTTCATGCGGTAAAGCCAACAAATAACCGCCTCCAACTCTAAGGATGGTTTCTCGAGGCGAAAAAGTGCTCAAATCAGCTTGCGTCCGACTGCGTCCCGCACTCATGGTTTCAATTCCAGCCCATTGTGCCAAGTCATTGTGGATGGTTTTTTGTTTGTAGAGTAATCTCACATTATGGTAGTCCGGTAGTAAGTAGCATTAATTTTGTTGGTAAAATTCCCAGAATATTTACCACATCATATACCAGTTCTACACCCATGTATGTTCCCGGATACACTTTTATATCCATTTGCGAATCCATTGAAGGTGATTGGAACCATCTGCCAATTTCCCTGGCCCACCTGACAGCATCTCGTGCAGGAGAATCCCAAAGGAGAAGATGTCCGCGGACACCCCGTAATCACCTCGGGCAACGGCGTTGCCTTGGGAGATGCTTTGATGCGAATCTTCAAAAACAATGCCGGAACTTCGGACTCCATGAATTTAGAAAAGCAGTTTCTCGGAAATGGAAATGGTGGTTTCTTCAACTGAGTTTTACTTTAGGGATTGGAAGAACAAATTTTTCATAGTAACCCACTGGCTCCCCGCACCAGAACTCAACACCTCCGGCGCCATATAGCGCAAGGTGCCGACCCCCTGGGCGATTCTGATGTGGGCAAACCCTGCCATAAATCACAGGGGAAGACTGGGGATGGTATATGTTGAAATCCAAAAAAAAGCAATGGTGATGACTTGGGGAGGCATGGCATTGGGGAATTGGGGTTTACCGTAAATTGAGATGGTCAAATCCACCAGGTCCCAGGTCCGGTTCGATCAGCGCCTGGGTCATACCAGAGAATTCACTCACGGGACGTGCAAAGCCCATGTCCCCGACCTTCACCTTGGTCTGTCGCCGACCTCCGACGATTGACACAGCGAAAACCGAACTGAGCAGTTTTGGCTCCCGGCGGTTGGGCACCCGCAGCCAGGCACGATGGGAGTATGCAGGAACGCATTCCTGGAGCCAGCAATGCAAGTGAAGGATCTGGAAACCAAAGGGCATTGCGGTAAAAAAGACCCAATAAAAGTGGCCTAATCTTGCCACTTGGATCCACTTGGGAAGTTTATAGACCCGAGAAAAATCTGATGTTTTTTGGTTGGGTCTTCTGACACCACTTGGAGGTCCTTCAAACACACCCTGGTTGCACTGCTTGGGGCCCGGGCCCTGACTTGATGTCGCGGTGAAGAATCTCCTGCATGGTGATTCTGGCACAGTATCTTTGAGAGTTTGAAGCTGAAAAATCGGAATTTGGGTTAGACAATAGAAATCTTCCATAACCAAAAAGAAATCTGGAATCTGAACTATATGGATCTGGACTGGAAAAAAGGGAATCCCAGTCGTCATCCGCGGTGTCATGAACAATCTTGACACCCAGCCTGCTGGTGAATGTAGTCCAAAGCAGAAGCGATATCATACCTCACCCGACCATCTGGATTTTTAATCCAGAGTGAAACTCACTGGCGCATCGTCGTGGGAATAGGGGAATGGGATGATTGTGAAAATAGTAGTGGATTGGATAATTCTCCCATTCCCTACTTACCACCAGTATTAAATTGATTTAAATTGGGGATGTACCAAATTTGGGGCTTGCCACCAGATAGCGGGCTAATTTTAGCGGGCGCAGCTTGCTTTGGATGATACGGTCAGAGTCATATGGTTCTCAACATGTGGGACCTGGAAGACCAAGATGATTTCTAAAATAAACCTGAAAAAGTAGGATGATTCCAACAAATGAAATCAGTCTTGGATAGATTTTCAGGAGGTTTCAGTCCATGGGTATCAGAGCTCGCAGAGCTTTGATCTCGACGCATGCCACAAGGGGCACCTATGCCTGGAACAACCCTGCACTCCATGCAAGAGTTTTTGCAAAAACGCTGCTGTACAGCAAATGTATTCTGTGTCTGGCTGCAAGCCTGAGGCGCCGGGTCTCCACCAGCTGGCACGCCCTGCTGCATCTTTCGGAACTGGAAAATAGAGTCTCCAACCATCTCCAACTCCCATCTGCTTTAGAAGCAGAAAATGTTGTCATCACGATGCCCAAGTGAATGCAAAGCGGGGTAGCAAGCTTTCTCCAGCATCACGGGTGGCCCACACATCAAACAAATTCCATCATCAGCTGCTTCAAAAAGAGACATTTTGGCAATCTCTTTTGTCACAGACCCCACGTGGCCCTTCCATTCCTGTGCCAATTTGACATTTCTTTCGTTTTGTGGGGTCACTTGGTCGACAGTGAAGTTCAGCATGAAGCGGTCTGGATGCTTGGCGGCCAAGTTTTCCAGGACGTCTCTCATCAGGATGTCATCTGGAATGCGGTTGGCATAGAGGAAGCGCACTTTAGTGGTGGCTGCTAGCACCTGGTAGCACGGTGCGAGACCAGTGCCGCCAGCAATCATGGAGATTTCCTTGCAGAAGCGGGGCTTGCCATGCACAAGGCAGCGCCCCTTCCCTTGTAAACAAACTCCCCAATAGATCCCTTCACGTTAATAGCATCGCCAATCTGCATGCTTTCCAGATGCTGCGACATTTTGCCGCCTTCTGGGAACTTTGGATGGATACCCTTGAAGTACACCTTCACAAGGAGGTCCACATAGCCCAGAGTGCTGTCATCTGTTCACCGGCTTGCCATCAACCTTAGCCTTCAAGGTCATGTGCAGACCAGTGGGAAGCCCAAGTCGCATAGATGGAGAAGGCAACTTGAATCGGAAGATGCGGGTGTCGCGAACATGTCAGAGTTGATGTTCATGTGATTGATGATGTACTCGGGTTTGTACCACCGTCCTTCTGCATGGGCCAGATCGGCGTCCACATGCGGTGGAAGCACACGATCGTCAAAGTAGTGATAGTGGTTTTCCGAAGGTTTGTCTGAAACCCACATTCTGGTCAGCCATTTGATCATGCGGCCTCCAACACAGCCGGGCAAGAGCGTGCGCAGAGGAAAGCCATGGTCATGGGGTCGACAACTCTCCATTCTGCTTGAAAGCAACACGTCTCGCTCCCTGTTCAAGGGCCCAGCCAATATCAATGGAAGCTCCTTAAGAGCCTGTCTTTCCTTGAGGCAATTCACCCAAGGGACCCTCAAAATGAACGAAACGGTGTTGCCTGGAAGGCCGGTTGATGCCCACTGCTGCGAGCAAATCACAAAGTCGAACTCCCGTCCAAACAGAGTTGCCTACAGCACCCGCACCCCAGTCAAAGCCAACCGTCTTCTTGGTCATGTTCTGTTCCTTCCGGCGGTTGCCCGCACAAATGAAGGTAACCGGCATTGAAACAATCGCGCCCCATTCTCCAGATGCAATCTGATCCATGTTGAGCTCCACTGGCTTTGGCACCCCTGTGATCTGCAACTTGTGCTCAGACCAGGACAGCTGCGGCACAGCACCATGGTTGCGCAGCACGTGTAGGGCAGGAGGAGTGATCCAACCAGCCTCCTGCAAGTGAGGGTGGCTCCGAGTTGAATGGATGTGCACCAGGGCTGAGCGCCTCTTAATCCACTGGTCTGGTGTTCCAGCATCACGCGCATCCACCTCACTTGCACCCTGACAACGAGGCATTTCTAGGCTGGTATCCCAAAGAGCGGTGGAAAGGGCAATCCTGCCATCCACCATCGTTCCATCTCGCGCGGGTTCGGCCACCTGCGCCATGTTCGGCCAAACTACGCCTGTACAAGCCACCCGCAGCTGGTGCTGAGTGAAGAAGCTTGAGCCAAAATGGCTACGGAGGTTTCAATCTCCGATCTGCGGATCTGATTTGGTGCTCCTCTAAGCCGCGCGACCCGGCTCGGAGACGTTCCACTGCTGGCATTTCTGCCCACAAATCCTCCTCCTGTTCGTGGATCACATCCTCGGCGCCGAACCCATTGGACCCCATGGATTTCCCAAAATTTCGACCCTTAAATCATACAAATTCAACCAACCCCCCAAGGTAACCCAAGGTTTGTAACAATGGTTTTTGAAGCACCAACATCCACAGGGTGTGTTACCCGTCCATTCGTGTGAGGGTTTGAATTCAAAAAGGGGTGTTTCGCTCAAATGGTGCATGGCTTTGATTTCCAAACTTCCTGGAAACATTGTGACATAATGGACTGGTTGCTGGGTAAATCTACAGGGAAACATTCATTTTCCCATGAAATATGGGGAATATATGGGGGCTTGGGGGCTTGCTGCAGATCTTCCCTTATACCAATCCATAAACATTCAACTGGACTGATTCCAGTGGAAGCTTTCGGCAGCCGCACCTGTAAGCTGCCACCAGTACATAGCTCCAAGATGACATAGTGCCTCGCCGCTTTTCAGTCCCCAGCCTATGTCAATATGGCCCAAAGGTGAACACCACCAACAGTTGCGGTTTCCAAACATAAACAGATTTCAGTGGTTTTGAATCTTTTGATCCAAGTGGATGGGGGGATTGAACCAAGAATACAACCGGAAAAATTCATCGCGATACAAGTTGTTGTTTGATTTAATGTAATTAATATTTTTGGACCAAAATATACTACAGACATTACTCCTTTTAGGGTTGTCTCAAATTTGAGAATCTAAAATCTCATGTGTTTTAAAATAAGGCACCCCAAAAAATTAATGGGCACCCCCCTTTGCATTTGCTGGTTGAACACTCGGAAATCAGGGAAAAAACAATTTCTGTTTACATTGCCGTTAAAGCCTCATTAAATCCCCCCATAAAGTCCTACCAAGTCCCTAAAAAAATCGAAGAAATCCCCATAAATTGACAGGTCAAATCCCCCTAATGCCAGGTGCCCAGGGTCGCCAGGTGCCCCTGCAGAGTACCCTCCTCCACGATGCCGAGAACATTCACCAAATTCGGGTGTCGTAAGCCTTGTTCAGAGCAGCTACGGGAATAGTTGGGCCATACATAGTGTGTATGTGTCTAAATAAATGAAAAATAAACCAAATACCCGCACGAGGCGGGGCAGAAGTTGCCTTAGGGATATACTAAAAGAACTTTCTCATCTATAGAACTTGCATGCGCAGTGCGCCAGCCAGGCTCGTGCGCGCGTGCTTTGTGCGAAGCTGTTGCAGTGTTGTTGTCCAAGAACATGACCTGCGCGCGACCCCGGCGCAATGCAACGCCAAGCCAAGCTTCACACTGCCCTCTTCACACCCTGCACTTCGCACTTCACACTTGCACTTCGTACTCGGCACTTCATCTCATCTCAAATCATGTGAGCTCTTCTCACCTCATCTCAGCTCTTCTCATCTCATCCCATCTCTTCTCACATGTCATCTAAGTAAGTTCTTCTCAACTGTTTTCATCTCATCCGAGCCCTGATCAACCTTTCTCATCTCCTCGAAGTTCGTCTCAACTCATCTTAGCTGTTCTGCAAGCTCTTACTGTCAGAGAGAAGTCTCTTGCACAACTAGACGACGGATGGCCCGAGAGCGTAGAGGAGCAGGGTCTTCTCTTGTTAGTATGGAGACGCAATTTTAGAAACGGTATATGAAAGCTGTGTTATAGGCAGTCGAGAAGAGGAGTATCAAGACAAAATAGTGAGAAGTGCAAGAGACAATAGTTTGCATCGCAAACACTTTTACACACAGACGCTTTTACACAGACGCTTTTACACACAAAGCTTTTACCCACAGAAGCTTTTACACACAGAAGCTTTTACAGACAGAAGCTTTTACATACAGAAGCTTTTACATACAGAAGCTTTGACACACAGACGCTTCTACACAGACACTTTTACACACAGACACGTTTACACACAGACACTTTTACACACAGACCCTTTTACACACAGGAGCTGCTTTTACACACAAACGCTTGTACACACAGAAGCTTTTACACATAGACGCTTTTACACACAAACTTCTTTACACAGAAACACTCGTACACACAAACCCGTTTACACACAAAGACTTTTACACACAGAAGGTTTTACACACAACACTTTTACACAGATGCACTTGTACACACAAACATTTTTACACACAAACATCTTTACACAGAAACGCTCGTACACACAAACCTCTTTGCGTGCGAAAGAGTTACTCCAGCACACGAAAAATCGCAATTTTACCTCAGTTTTTACCGATCGACCCTCATTTCGTGCGAAAGGGTTGCTCCAGGACAAGTCAAATCGCAATTTTACCTCAGTTTTTGCCGATCGACCCTCATTTCGCGAAAGGGTTGCTCCAGGACAAGTCAAATCGCAATTTTACCTCAGTTTTTGCCGATCGACCCTCATTTCGTGCGAAAAGGTTGCTCCGGCACAAGTCAAATCGCAATTTTACCTCAGTTTTTGCCGATCGACCCTCATTTCGTGCGAAAGGGTTGCTTTAGCACAAGTAAAATCGCACTTTTACCTCAGTTTTTGCCGATCGACCCTCATTTCGTGCGAAAGGGTTGCTCCGGCCAAGTAAAATCGCATTTTACCTCAGTTTTTGCCGATCGACCCTCATTTCGTGCGAAAGGGTTGCTCCAAGTAAAATCGCAATTTTACAAGTTTTTGCCGATCGAAAAGGGTTGCTCCGGCACGTAAAATCGCACTTTTACCTCAGTTTTTGCCGATCGACCCTCATTTCGTGCGAAAAGGTTGCTCCAGGACAAGTAAAATCGCAATTTTACCTCAGTTTTTGCCGATCAACCCTCATTTCGTGCGAAAGGGTTGCTGTTTCGTGACTCACCGCCGGCACCACCCTCGGCCTAAAGAGAGAAAGATAAAGAAGGCGAGAGAGAGAAAAAGGAGAGAGAAAGGAGAGAGAGAAAGGAGAGAGAGTGAGAGAGAGAGAAGGTGTGAAGATGAGAAGGTGTGAGAGAAGGTGTGAAGATGAGAAGGTGTGAGAGAAGATGTGAAGATGAGAAGGTGTGAGAGAAGATGTGAAGATGAGAAGGTGTGAGAGAAGGGTGTGAAGATGAGAAGGTGTGAGAGAAGATGTGAAGATGAGAAGGTGTGAGAGAAGATGTGAAGATGAGAAGGTGTGAGAGAAGATGTGAAGATGAGAAGGTGTGAGAGAAGATGTGAAGATGAGAAGGTGTGAGAGAAGATGTGAAGATGAGAAGGTGGGAGAGAAGATGTGAAGATGAGAAGGTGTGAGAGAAGATGTGAAGATGAGAAGGTGGGAGAGAAGATGTGAAGATGAGAAGGTGGGAGAGAAGATGTGAAGATGAGAAGGTGTGAGAGAAGATGTGAAGATGAGACGGTGGGAGAGAAGATGTGAAGATGAGAAGGTGTGAGAGAAGATGTGAAGATGAGAAGGTGTGAGAGAAGATGTGAAGATGAGAAGGTGTGAGAGAAGATGTGAAGATGAGAAGGTGTGAGAGAAGATGTGAAGATGAGAAGGTGTGAAGATGAGAAGGTGTGAGAGAAGAACTGAAGATGAGAAGGTGTGAAGATGAGAAGGTGTGAGAGAAGATGTGAAGATGAGAAGGTGTGAGAGAAGATGTGAAGATGAGAAGGTGTGAGAGAAGATGTGAAGATGAGAAGGTGTGAAGATGAGAAGATGAGATACAGACCTCCACTATTGGAAGAACCCTGCGCTCAGACGCTCTCGGGAAAAAACCATTGGGCGCAGACCGTTTTTGCACGCAGACACTCGAGGCACAAATGCATTTAGACAGAAAAAGCCTTTCCGAAATACTTTGCACCACAAAGCTTGCACAAAGCACTTCCCAGTACTTTTTTTGTACTACAAAGCTTGCACACAGCACGTACTACAAAGCTTGCACAAAGCACTTCCCAGCACTACTTTGCACTACAAAGCTTGCACAAAGCACTTCCCAGTACTACTTGTACTACGAAGCTTGCACAAAGCATTTCCCAGTACTACTTTGTACTACAAAGCTTGCACAAAGCACTTCCCAGTACTACTTTGTACTACAAAGCTTGCACAAAACACGTTCCAGTACTACTTTGTACTACAAAGCTTGCACAACGCACTTCCCAGTACTACTTTGTACTACAAAGCTTACTACTACTTGTACTACAAAGCTTGCACAAAGCACTTCCCAGTACTACTTTGTACTACAAAGCTTGCACAAAGCACTTCCCAGTACTACTTTGTACTACGAAGCCTGCGCAAGTATGTCCCAGTACTACTTTGTACTGCAAATCTTGCACAAAGCACTTCCCGGTACTACTTTGCTACGCAGATGGCAACACCAGATGACAACAATCATGCAGCCATTCCACAGCGATCTGCAAGCACAGATTCGAGACACGCATAGAACTACGCACACAGGAACCACCACTCGTTGCAGAACACAGAGGAGGAACACATTCGCGGATGAAACGGCCCAGCCGCCCCCCCGCACACACGAGGTACCCTTCATCGCCGGCCGAAGCCACTTTACACGGAAAAACACAAGGTTTCGTGCTCCGGCTTCCTCCCCAACACAAGCCCCATGCAACATTCATGCAACCATTACAATGCGTATCGCAGCATCACGTCGCAAACCTGCACGTATCTACGCACATGGCAACACCAGATGACAACAATCATGCAGCCATTCCACAGCGATCTGCAAGCACAGATTCAAGACACGCATAGAACTACGCACACAGGAACAACCACTCGTTGCAGAACACAGAGGAGGAACACATTCGCGGATGAAACGGCCCAGCCGCCCCCCCGCACACACGAGGTACCTTTCATCACCGGCCGAAGCCACTTTACACGGAAAAACACAAGGTTTCGTGCTCCGGCTTCCTCCCCAACACAAGCCCCATGCAACATTCATGCAACCATTACAATGCGTTTCGCAGCATCACGTCGCAAACCTGCACGTATCTACGCACATGGCAACACCAGATGACAACAATCATGCAGCCATTCCACAGCGATCTGCAAGCACAGATTCAAGACACGCATAGAACTACGCACACATGAACAACCACTCGTTGCAGAACACAGAGGAGGAACACATTCGCGGATGAAACGGCCCAGCCGCCCCCCCGCACACACGAGGTACCTTTCATCGCCGGCCGAAGCCACTTTACACGGAAAAACACAAGGTTTCGTGCTCCGGCTTCCTCCCCAACACAAGCCCCATGCAAATTCATGCAACCATTACAATGCGTTTCGCAGCATCACGTCGCAAACCTGTACGTATCTACGCACATGGCAACACCAGATGACAACAATCATGCAGCCATTCCACAGCGATCTGCAAGCACAGATTCAAGACACGCATAGAACTATGCACACAGGAACAACCACTCGTTGCAGAACACAGAGGAGGAACACATTCGCGGATGAAACGGCCCAGCCGCCCCCCCGCACACACGAGGTACCTTTCATCGCCGGCCGAAGCCACTTTACACGGAAAAACACAAGGTTTCGTGCTCCGGCTTCCTCCCCAACACAAGCCCCATGCAACATTCATGCAACCATTACAATGCGTTTCGCAGCATCACGTCGCAAACCTGCACGTATCTACGCACATGGCAACACCAGATGACAACAATCATGCAGCCATTCCACAGCGATCTGCAAGCACAGATTCAAGACACGCATAGAACTACGCACACAGGAACAACCACTCGTTGCAGAACACAGAGGAGGAACACATTCGCGGATGAAACGGCCCAGCCGCCCCCCCGCACACACGAGGTACCTTTCATCGCCGGCCGAAGCCACTTTACACGGAAAAACACAAGGTTTCGTGCTCCGGCTTCCTCCCCAACACAAGCCCCATGCAACATTCATGCAACCATTACAATGCGTTTCGCAGCATCACGTCGCAAACCTGCACGTATCTACGCACATGGCAACACCAGATGACAACAATCATGCAGCCATTCCACAGCGATCTGCAAGCACAGATTCAAGACACGCATAGAACTACGCACACAGGAACAACCACTCGTTGCAGAACACAGAGGAGGAACACATTCGCGGATGAAACGGCCCAGCCGCCCCCCCGCACACACGAGGTACCTTTCATCGCCGGCCGAAGCCACTTTACACGGAGAAACACAAGGTTTCGTGCTCCGGCTTCCTCCCCAATACAAGCCCCATGCAACATTCATGCAACCATTACAATGCGTTTCGCAGCATCACGTCGCAAACCTGCACGTACTTATATATATATACATATAGGCAACCCACCCCCCAGTGCTATCCCACCCCAGCCCCCGCCCAGCAACCACCCCCACGGGGGTGGCCAGCCATCTAACACCATCCGTCAAGATCTCATATGCTCACAATGCTATACTTACATGCTGGCCTTGTGGCACCTATGCAATACATAACAGGATACCTCCATGCACTGTTCACTGCTGCCTCTAATAACCCCATACGATCTATTTACAACGTATTACTGCCTATAAAGTACCTTTATAGTAGCCATATACTGGCTTCCATCAAGATCTCATGTGCTATACATACGTGCTAGCCACGTACTACCTATACACTAGCTACATGATACGTATACAACACCCTACCCATCCCACAAGGGGGGGGCGTGGGGATATGCTACACCTTTCATCACTCTATTTACAACGTTTTCCTGCCTATAAAGAACCTTTACATGGCCATATACTAGCTACTATCAAGATCTCATGTGCTATACATACGTGCTGGCCACGTACTACCCATACACTACCTACATGATACCTCTAAAACACCCCACCCATCCCACAGGGGGGTGGGGGTAAGCTATACCATGCATCACGCTATTTACAACGTATTCCTGCCCATAAAGTATCTTTATAGTAGCCATATACTAGCTACTATCAAGATCTCATGTGCTATACATGCGTGCTAGCCACATACTTCCTACACAGTATCTACATGATACCTCTATAACACCTCACCCATCCCACAGGGGGCGACGGGGGCAAAGTAGACCCACAGATGGATCATGTACATGCTGGCCACATACGACCTACTTACTGCCTTACACACTAGTTGTGCCAGTGACACACTACCTAGCCCCAACCCGCCCCACAGAGGGGGGCAGGGGTAAAGTAGATCCTACATCGATCATTTCTGTGCTAGCGACATGTCAACTATATCCGACACAAAGCCTCCAACATACAGCGTACATCAGGACCATGACCATTAGGGGGAAGGGGGGTTGCAGGGCTGAGCCATATATATATATATATATAAGACATGTAATAACCTATCTATGCTACACACAAAGATATATGTTGGATCTGAACCCTAGCGGTTTCAAGGTTTCAAGAGGGAAAAAACGATTGGTAAATCATCCAAGTAATTGTTCATTTTCAATCGGGAAAGCACATCGAAGGGAACGCCATCGGAATTGGAACGTCGCTTGGAAGATGGTTGAGGTTTAGATGTGCCCGGTGGGTATGTCAACTTGAGGCCCAGTGTTAGTGACGAGAGCTAGCTTGGCAGGGAGCGTGGCATGAAGACGCCCTGTATGCTGGTAAAACTTATCTGCATTAAGGGATCTTATGTCCAAGACAAGGCTTTCCATGTCTTGGTAAAAAAAGAGCGGGACATGTTGAAGGGGGATCAATGTCACATATGAAGAGAATACGAGTATATCGCGCGTCAACATAATGGGGAAACTCCCACTCAGTAGCGTGGTTGGCACTAAACAGGAAGAAGATTCTAGGGTCCACCTTCAGTATCCGAGTGGGCCTTTCAAGGCTTAGAAGTTGCAAGAGACGATGTTGGAAGCGCGGCTAGGTAGGATCTCATGAAGACAAAAAACTGATGCCAGCGCAATTGCTCCCGAAGGATCTTTGAGAACTCATCTGCATGAAGGAATATTATGTCCAAGACAAGCTTGCCATTGCGAGAACTGACTGGGAACTACATGTGAAGGTTCAAAATGAAAATTAAGCTACGCTTTAGGGCTGGCCATCAACATGCCAATAGTGAGCGACGCTGCACCAGTGACTTGAAGCATGCGCTATTGACGACGCCAATGATGCTGAGGATGCGGATGCTGCCGATTTTGCTGCCGGTGGCGACATGCCGACGGTGTCCCGCAAGGAATTGAGCCACGGCCAACTGCTTGTGAACCGGCCGAAGTTTCATGCGATGCTAAATCAAGAGGGACTTCAGCTGGCAGGAGCTAGCTTTCGTGAAATGTAAAATGTCTCTGAAAGGGGCTTTAGTGACCCCCTCTTCGATGTGTGAGACCTGACCCAGTTGCTATAAGGGGTGGAACCAGGTAGTAGTTTCATTCCGGTGTCAGAGCTTTTCGTGACTTTTCCAAAAAACGGGAGTACCCCAAAACCAACCGGTTTACCATAATTTTCCCAATCAAAATTGCAAGATTTGGGGTAGATGACTCTATAACTATAAATATAAAAAACTATAAATATATCCCAAAAAAACATTTTACAAAAACACCATATGAGATGCTTAAATCCCATTCTATGACTGGTTGCATCCACATGTTTCATGGTCAAGTCCTGGATGATCGTCCCATTTCCGGCCTTGGATAAACTCCGCCTCCCGGCCCCTTCCAGGAAGCATGTCCTCAAAATCAAAACCTATGGATTTCCCGGCCATTTGTCGGGATGTACCAAGCTACTGGTTGGTAAAATCAATTCGTAGAATTCTTCCCATGCCAGGTCGGGAATGTGGATAGAAGCATAGCTCCGAACCGCTCCCCCCATCCGGGTGTGTTCAACTGATTGAATCCTAAGTTGCAGCATGTTGGCATCCAACGTCCCCGAGAAAGCCTGGTGAAATAGAAACCCCGGGAAGAGGACTTTCCAAAACCTGACGCATCACTTTTTTGAGGGTGCCATGTTTCCCAATACCAAATCATCTGAATGATATAGTGTTGTCTGTGGTTTTCATGCAAGTTCCCTATGTTCCCTTGTTGAAATTTGCTAATCTTCAGACTATCAAATAGTTTTGCAGGGGGACATGCCTGCTCAAGGGCTGACAATTGATGATGTCCAAAATTGGGCAAGCTCCCAAAAAGATGTCGCCTGGTCTTTCAATGTGTCTGAAATCCAAATGTCCAGCAATGGATTTTGGGGTTTTCATCCCAAAAAAAGAACTAGAAACGTGACCCACTCCCGAATCTTCCTGGTGTAGGTCCTTCTGTTTCAGCACTTTCACCGCCACTTGATCCTCGATGCCAACGACATGGCAACCTGGCGCCATGGCGGGGAATCCGAAAATCCATGACTTATCTGTCAAATTTCCATCACTGGTCACTTAATCATCACAAACGGCGTTTCATAAAATGGAAACAGTCCCCAAACCATTCGTTTTTCCATTTGACGAACTTGGATGAATCTGCACGGGCACGTGCCGGGAAGACAGAACACATAGGAAAAGCTTCCGGTGCCCAGCCTGAAAAATCTCGGAGAACCGGCTGGAAAAATAGGACTGGGATGTAGCCTGTGGTAATCTAACTATAGAAAATGTTCGTTTGATATCCATGGCGTTTTCAAGTGGAATTGTAATTGCCTACTGCCATGTATAATTACCCGAGGGCAACGAGGTTTCCGATTTGGAGAATGTGGAAAAGGATTCTCCACTTGCCGATGAGCAAGTCAAGCCATCCTTCCGGCAGGGTTTGTAATTTCAAGATGGATGTTGAAACTTGGCACCTGAAGGCCAATGTTGACACAATCCACATCCCAACTCCAGGTCGCCTTTCAGACTTCATCAAGCTGGCATGCCCTCCCACGCAACACCCTTAGGCTCAAACAATTCATGGACCTCCCTTGGTGGCAAAGTCATCAACAGCCCGCGGGCTGGTGAAATGGTCGTTTCCTTGAAAAAAAACAGCTAGATCATTGGTGAATTTTTGAGTAGGGAGCCCTTGTGCAAATGATCGAAAGTGAACCCCACTTATCCCTCTAAGAAACAACTGTGCACCCTCCGGCCTCCTGGGAATCTGGGAGTGTGCTCTCTCTTTTTCCCCAACAGCGTAAGCTAATGGGGTCTTCAGCCCAGAATAGCTCCGGTGTGTGCTAGTGCAGGCGCCGGGTCAGGGGCAACAAGGTTCCGGAGAAGGTTCCGAAGGTTCCCCGGAGATTGTCTGGGAGGCTTTGGTGCAGAGCCAGGTCAGGTTCAACACGGTTCCGGGGAAGGTTCCGGAGAAGGCCTGGGAAGCTTTGGAGCATGCTGAGTTGTTTCCAGCGCTTGGCTTCGCAGCACGCTTCAGAAAGATTTGTAAAAATAAATCGGTGCGGCTGTTGGGGATACCACCGAAGCTGATTTTGTGATGGACTTCGCTAAATGCTTTTGAAGGGACATTACCAGTAGTACCGCGCAAAGCGCTGGGGGAAGTTTCAAAAATAAGAAACCTATAGGAGAGGTTGGTTGTTGTGAATCACGGATGGCAGAGCGAACCCACTGATGGACCGAAAGGTGCTTGGAGTTGTGTTTTTTGGAATGGTTGCAATGGTTGCAGTGGTCACCTCACCACAACTGTTGGATGTAGCGTGGTGTAGTGCAGTTGTAGCTGTAGTTGTAGCTGTAGTGTAGTGGAGTTGTAGTTGTAAGTTGTAGTTCTAATGTGATGTAATTAGTGTAATGTAGTTGCAGTTGCAGTTGCAGTTGCAGTTGTAGTTGTGGTGCGGTGTAATTAGTGTACTATATTGTAATGTATTGTAGTGTACTGTAGTGTGGTATAGTCTAGTATAGTCTAGTGTAGTGTAGTGTAAAGTAGTGTAGTTGTAGTTGTAGTGTGTTGTAATAAGTGTAGTGTAGCGTAGTGCAATGTAGTGGTAGTTGTAATTGTAGTTGCAGTTGCAGTTGTAGCTGTAGCGTAATGTACTGTAATTAGTGTAGTGTAGTGTTGTGTAGTGTTGTGTAATGTAGTGTAGTTGTAATTGTAGTGGTAGATTTGGCGGTGGTGGTGGTGGTAGTAGTAGTAGTCGTCGTCGTAGTAGTCGTCGTCGTAGTAGTCGTAGTAGTCGTAGTAGTCGTAGTAGTCGTAGTAGTCGTAGTAGTCGTAGTAGTCGTAGTAGTCGTAGTAGTCGTAGTAGTCGTATAGTAGTCATAGTAGTCGTAGTAGTCGTAGTAGTCGTAGTAGTCGTAGTAGTCGTAGTAGTCGTAGTAGTCGTAGTAGTCGTAGTAGTCGTAGTAGTCGTAGTAGTGGTAGTAGTAGTAGTAGTAGAAGTAGTAGTAGTAGTAGTAGAAGTTGTAGTTGTTGTAGTTGTTGTAGTTGTTGTAGTTGTTGTAGTTGTAGTTGTAGTTGTCTGTCTATCTACCTAATCAATCATCAATCAATCAATCAATCAATGAATCAATCAATCAATCAATCTATCTATCTATCTATCTGTCTATCTGTCTATCTGTCTATCTGTCTATCTGTCTATCTGTCTATCTGTCTATCTGCCTATCTGCCTATCTGTCTATCTATCTGTCTGTCTGTCTACCTGCAAGCTTGAAAACGCAACTATTTTGCGACACTTCTTCAGTTTTTGAACTTGACAACATCCAAAACGAAGCAATTCTGCGAGACCTCCTCAATTTTTGAACTTGACAACATCACAAACGAAGCAATTCTGAGAGACTTCCTTCAAAAATGGAAAGTTGCCTGCAGAGCTGACGGCCTCGTACCAATGCGTTTTGTGATTTTTCCAGTCCACCTGTCTAAAGTACTGCGCCTGCCACGAAAAATTGATGCCAGGTCATACGAAGTGCTGCACCTGTCATGCAAAATCATCTTAGCAAACCTACAGAAATGCAACCCCTCTCAGGAAATCAGCGCCCCCACCTCATCTCTGATGAACATGTCTCTTGCACCGCGCCTGCCATGGAAAATGCATCTTTGCAGATCCTCTTCAAATGTCCCACATTCCTGCCATTGTTTTTAGATTTGCTACAAAGCCCTCACGTTTTGCTCACTTTTGACAAGGTGCACAATCCCTTGTGCCTGCCACGCAAAACGATGCTTCAACGTCCAAAAGTGGCGCGAACATGGCGTGCTTTGTACATTTTGACTTGGAAATGTTCTTCGCGCCACGACAGCGTGCACTTTTTCGACATCTCAACTTCCAAAAGTGCTCCGAACGTGAGGTGCTTTTAGCTTTTTCACTTGCAAATGTGCTTCGCGCCACAACGGCGCGCACTTTTTCGACATCTCAACGTCCAAAAGTGCTCTGAACCCGTCAGTTTTTAACACTTTTGACTTGGAAATGTGCTTCTCGCCACAACGGCGTGCATTTGTTCATCTCTCATCTGGCCAGCTGGCTCCGGACCCGCCGCTTTAGCAAGCCTACTTTTCGACCCTCCGGAGCCACAAATCATTGGAAAAACACAGTTTCGCGACTTTCCTACCTTTTCGCGCACCTGGATCTTCCTTCTTCTCACTCTTTCTCTTTTTGATCTTCTTTTTTCTTCTCTTCTCTCCTCTGACTCTTCCCATCTCTGCTCTTCATCTGTCCATACTGTCGGAGATTTGACTTCTAAACTTCCTTCGACCAGGGGCTGTTTTGGGAAACTTCCAGGGCCTTGGCGACCAGACTTTTTCAGGGAACCTCCCAGGGATTTTTGAGGGAACTCCTCAGGGTATTGTTCTTGTATGTTT